GTACCAACGCTGCACATTGAGAGCCACGGGCGTGAATCCCCCGAGGGATCCGACATCGACCTCTCTCGCACTGTCGGGTGGTTCACCACAATCTGTCCCCTGGTCATCCCTGTGCGTGCGACAGAAAGCGACGCGGTCGACACTCTGCGCCGGACCAAGGACACGAGGCGCAACATCAAAGAACACGGCAGACCGTACTTCGCCAACAAGTACCTTTCGGGAGCGGCCGCTGCAGAATGGGCCCCGATGGAGGTTTTGTTCAACTATCTCGGCGGCGGCGTCGGAGTGCAGCAATCCGAGCAAACCGATTCGCTGATCCGCCAGGTCGACCTCGACGAGATCCAAAATCTCGATACCATCAGCATGGCCGACGTTGGACCCCAAACCAGGAGACTTGCTCTGTTTGAGATCTCGGCCATCGTTGTCAACAACAAGCTGCAGTTCAGTTTCGTATACGACAGCAGCCTCGACCAAGCAAGCGATGTACGCAAGTGGATCGGCGCCTGTCAAAGCACACTTCAGGAAATGACCCAGGTCCTGTCGCGACGCCCTGCAGAACCAACTTTGAGCGACTACCCCCTTCTTCCCTTGACATATGACGGCCTCCACACGCTGACCGAGGTCGTCCTTCCGCGTGTCGGCATCAATCGCGCATCCGCCTTCTCCGAGGTTGAAGACATCTACCCCTGCACGCCGGTGCAAGAGGGCATGTTGATCAGCCAACTTCGCAACCCGAGTGCCTACATCTTCCACGCCGTCTACCGCGTGCGGCACACCAACCAGAGTCACCGTCTAGATGCCGACAAAATTGCGCGGGCGTGGCAAAAAGTGGTCGATCGCCATGCCGCTCTCCGAACCGTCTTCATTGAGAGCGTGCGACGTGGCGGCGTGTTTGACCAAGTTGTCCTGAAGAGAGTCGACTCCGGGGCCATTCTCCTTCAGTCCCGCGATGAGAAAGCACTGGAAAAACTCAACCGAGTCAAGATACAGTCCGAACCGCAACTTCTCCATCGACTTGCGCTCTGCACAACCGACAGTGGGGCCGTTCTCATGAAACTTGAAGTCAACCATGCCGCGATGGATGGTGGCTCGCTCGCACTTATCCTCGAGGAGTTGGCATCCGGATACATGGATACCCTGGAGGTCACTCCTGGACCTCTATTCAGCAACTATGTCCAGTACATCTGCAGTCTTCCCGATCAGGAGGACACCAAACACTGGATGCGCTATCTCCGGGGTCTTCAACCCTGCTACTTCCCCAACCTCAACAGTAGCACCAGCACACTCGCCAGCGAGACTAGAAGTCTGCGCTCTGCCGCCCTCCAGTTCAGTCGTTATCGTGAGCTCCGACAGCTCTCCGAACGGACGCACGTCACCCTCGCCAACATAATGCACGCGGCCTGGGCCTTTGTGCTGCGCAAGTACACCGCGTGCGACGATGTCTGCTTCGGCTATCTCACAGCGGGCCGTGATGCGCCGGTTGAGGATATCAGCCGAACTGTCGGGACACTCATCAACATGCTCTGCTGCCGCGTCCAGATCTCTCGGTCGCAAACACTTGAAGACGTCTTCCGGATGGCGCAGGACCATCACCTTCAGAGCATGCAGTATCAGCACTGCGCACTGGCACGGGTCCAACACGAGCTTGGCCTCGCCGGCAAGCCACTGTACAACACTTCGATTTCGACACAAAACCACTCGCAAGACACGGATAAGGAAAAGAAAACACTCTCATTCGACATGGAAAAGGCGCATGACCCCAGTGAGGTAAGGGGTGGCTCTCCCTAAGACAAAGTCCCATAGAGTGCTAACCACAGCAAAAGTACGCCATCACGGTCAACATTGAGACTTCCAAATCTTCCGAAGGCGTTGTTTTCCGATACTGGTCCGACCATATCAGCGATGACCAAGTGCAGGAGGTGGCCCGTTGTATGAGTCGGGTTCTGGACGCCTTCATCAACCAGCCCACTCAAGCTGTTGGAGAACTCGATCTGGAACTCGACGGCCGCCAAACGACAAGCGCCATTGAGTCATCGGAAAATCTGATGATCGAAAATCTGCAACAAGATTCAGGCTCGGGAACCCCAAGAAGCATGGATTCATCACGGAGAACATCCTCTGACAATTCCCTGGAAACACCCGTCAATGGTGCGGTCGGGCAGGTCCCCCTGGATCAGACACTCCTTGCGCTGTGGAGTGCTCTGCTTAACCTACCGGAAGACTCAATCGCCGGCGAAGACAGCTTTTTCGACCTCGGAGGCGACAGCATAACGGCCATGAAACTTGCTGGTGAGGCCAGAGACTGCGGCCTGCCACTTACAGTCGCAGATGTCTTCCGCAACCCGTCCTTTGACCACATGGCTTCCAGTGTTCGCGCAGCTGCGAATATGCAAGCCATCGATAGCAAGCTTGCCAAACATGGGACCGGAACGCTCACGTCACAATCTACAAGGAGTGACCTGTACGAACGCTTTTCACTCCTGGCGGCCTCCAATGTCGATGCGTTCCTTCAGACCAGCATCGTCCCACAAGTCTGCGTTTTCAGAGGCGGCATCTCGGACGTGCTCCCAGCAACCGACTTCCAATCTCTGTCCGTTGCAGGCGCCCTCCTCCAGTCCCGCTGGATGCTCAATTACTTCTACCTAGACGGCGAAGGGCCCCTGAACCTGGGCCAGCTCAAGCGCGCTTGCTTCCGACTCGTGCAGGCGTTTGACATTCTACGCACCGTCTTTGTTCCTTCGGGCGGTCGCTTCCTTCAGGTTGTCTTGCGCACTCTTCGGCCCGCTTTCCATGTCATTGAGACCGATGAGCCTCTGGATGAGTTTACAGTGGAGCAAGGAGGAGAGCCGCGCCTCGGCGAGCCGTTCGTTGAGTTCACTGTAGTCAAGCATCGGCTCAGCTCGCGTCACAGGCTTTTCCTGCGCATCTCACATGCGCAGTATGACGGGGTGTGCTTCCCCAAGATCCTGAGCGCACTCCAAGCCGCCTACCGCGGCGAGACCGTCACTCGTCCGCCCTCTTTCGCGAACTATCTGCGTGCTTCCGCTGGGTCGTTGACCTCGGAACACTATCAACACTGGAAGAAGCTTCTCGAAGGATCATCCATGACCGAAGTGGTGCGTCGCCAGGGTCCAAATTACCACAGAAACGCCACAGGTACAGCAACTGCCTGTCTGAAGAAGACAGTCCGCATACCAGCCGTGGACTCGGGCCACATCACCACCGCCACTGTCGTCAAAGCTGCATGGGCGTATGTGCTCGCGCAGGTCTCGGCGAGCACCGACGTCGTCTTTGGGCACACCATCAGCGGGCGCAACGCCGCTGTTGAGGGTGTCGGAAACATGGTCGGGCCATGCCTCAACCTGGTGCCAGTGCGCGTACAGTTTGGCAACGAACCCGACTGCACGGCTAGACAACTCCTCCGTCAGGTCCAGGATCAGCAGGTTGCGAACATGTCGCATGAGGTGCTTGGCTTTCGTGAAATCATCCGGCATTGCACCTCATGGCCCCGGTGGACTTACTTCAGCTCGACTGTGCAGCACCAAAACGTGGACCAAAGCGGCTCAGTGCGTCTCAGAGACATCGACTACCAGGTTGGATGTGCCTCGGCCGCGCAGGAGGACTTTGCCGATTTCTCGGTTCTCTCACAGCCACTCGCCGACGATGACATGTACGAAATCATCCTCAGCTTTGCTGAGAACGGAGCCATTCCCCGTAACTTTGCCGAGAGCGTTCTCGACATGCTGTGCGATGCCGCACATCTCTTCGCCAGCAACCCCGAAGCGGTCCTATCCTCCGCTGCGGAACTCCGAGACAAACCGCAACAGATGCCCTTCGAAGAGAACTCAACATCATCTGCAGAAGACGACAACGAAAATGACAATGCTTTGCATGCCGCTTCCAAACTCCAACATCTCAGCCATGCCCAGCTGCTCAACCTCACCACACTCGTCAGCACGGCATGGCACCAAGTTCTGGGTCACGACTCGGACCAACAAACAACAACAGCAACAGACGGAACCAAGGCGACAGAACCGATCGACTTGGACACATCCTTCTTCGCTTTGGGCGGCGACATCATCGGCCTGGCGCAGCTCGCTTGGCTGCTCGACCAGCGGGGCTTCACGGCGCCGCGCCTCGAGGACCTGGTCGACAACCCGACCGTGCGTGGGCACATGGCCCTCCTCGCAAAGGGGATCGCCCCGGCCCGCGACGCCCTTGCTGTCAAGGTGCCGGCGGAGGTGCGGAAGGCGGCGACTTTCCCTGTGATGCAGAAGATCACGAGGGTGGATTCATCGTTGAAGTTGGCGAAGGCGTTGGGGGTGGTGAGGAGGAGGTTTATGAAGAGGAAGGGCGGGGATGTGGTGGCTGTTGCGTAGGGGTATTTTGTCTGGGGAATTTGGGGCCGGGGGGGTTGGGATGATGCCGTCAGTTTTGCTCTTTAATGATTGACGACTGGCGTTGGGAGCTTTGGAGTATGGAGTGATGGAGTTGGCTTGTTGGCTTGGTGGCTTGCTTTGGCTTGAGTTTCTTTTTGGTGCGATCGTTCAATCTCCTATTTGTGACTAGTATGATTCCGGGGAGGGTCTTCACCGATGTTGTGGTTTGTTTTTTTGGAGTTCAATCTATCGATCTGTTCTTATGTCGACATATGTTGTCTTAGCTTTGAACTGGAAACAAACGGAATTTACCTGCCTTCATCTAGAAAAACTGTCTGGGAGGAGTGTATAACATGGAAATCCTTGATACTATTGTCTCTGGGGGATCCATGTCAGCTCGATTCAGGGGTTACTCCACCAGACCCTCACCATGATTTCTCTCAGCCCCCACAGACCCCATCAAGCCAATTCTGACTGCCACATAACAACAGTAGCCAAGGACGGATGGTCGAGTGGTATCAGCTTCGGTTCACGCAATCGAGAAGGTCCCAAGTTCGACTCACAATCCACCCGAGGCAGCAACCCCTCCCACACCCTACCATGAATGCAAACATTCATACGTCTTCCGTAGTATAGTGGTCAGTATGTGAGCTTGTCATCACCGGCATCGCTCGAGACCCGGGTTCAATTCCCGGCGGGAGAGAGCCACAGTGGAAGTTATCTTTTGGCTGTTTGCAGCTCGTTTGCCTTTTGTCCCTTTTTGGTTAACTAGTGATTTATTAGACACATCTTGAAAGTGGTAGGCCGCAAGTGCCAGCATCAAATGAGGGCGGCGTAGGCAACAAGCAGACAACCCAAGGTAACAAAGATCCGCCAAAAACGAAACAATGGCACGAAATATGACTATCAGTCAAAAGTCAGGTACCTTACGTACGGCATCGAAGCCACTTTCGTCAATTGAAACTAGCATATCAGTATACCTACAGAGATGTTTTCAGATATACCGCCGAATCGGATTTGTGGTGCTTGTCAGACCGTGACTTGTGTGACCACACAAAGAACCCTGCAGAGGACTTTATTTTCGGTCTACCAGATATAGCACCCGGCAGACTGCAAGCATCTTCATAGGCTATGAGGGGCATGTTCCGCGGGCAAGCTTTTCCAGGTCATGAATTTATCCCCAAGTGATGAGGGGCAACATCTAACACCCGTTCTCCTCTCCACCTTACTCCAACTCCGTCCCATCAAGTACCAGTCAAAGCCCTAGCGGAGCTTGAAAGCGCCCAAGTCTGCTACCAGATTTGGTTCAACGAAGTTCACCATATCCTATCGTAAAAGTCCCCAACGCAACCAAACGACGATGTCCGAGGCCACCTCCAACCCATTCCCCAAAAGCCCGCTCGGCACTCCCAACCGCTACACCACCACCCACGACCCAGCCACCAACAAAGCCATCTTCTCTCGCACCCTCCCGGAGCCCGTCCCCGGCTACGGCGCCGCCGGCATGGTCGTCTTCGACACGTACAAGACCTTCACCCACCCTTTCACCATGTCGGACGAGAGCGACATCGCGCTTCTGCAATCCCACCCTTCCCCCGCCAATCCTCCTCCGGCCTCTTCATCCGGAGCTTCCCCCGACAAAATCTGGTTTCCGGCGCCCGGCGAGACACTACTCCGGTACTGCGACTGGGCGCCCGGCGAGACGCTCGCCTTCCACCGGACCGAGACGCTGGACCTGGGGGTGTGCGTGTCCGGCCGGATGGAGCTGACGCTGGATTCCGGGGAGGTGAGGGTGCTGGCGCCCGGGGACACGATCGTGCAGCGGGGCACAAAACACGCGTGGCGGAACCCCAGCGAGACGGAGTGGGCGCGGGTGGTGTTCTTCTTGCTTGGGGCGGAGCCGGTGAGGGTCGGAGGGGAGGTGATGGGGGAGGAGATTCCGTGGTCGGGCGATGTGGAGGGGAAGGTGAAGGAGGAATGATGCCTCAGAAGTGGTCAAGGGGCTAATAGGGGGTATTGTTAACGTATTACAGTTGTTTTCCTCTATATCTATCTACCTTTTTATTTGTCAACAGAAACCCTCGCTGGTATCAATGCTCTACAATAACTTGAAGCAAGAACTTTGCATCGCCTAAGCAGAAGTCTGCTCCGACTTGGGGCTTCTCTTGAACAGCCCCTTGACTGCGCTCACACCCTTGCCGACAAGTCGGAAAAGGGGCCCAAGGCCAAAGCTGGTACCCTTGACGCGGACGGTGTACACGAAGAAGTAGACAAGCCTGTCCCAGTCAGTTTATCCGCTCGATGCCTGTCTTTGTGTTCAGGGGTGACTTACAGCCAGTTGGTAAAGCAAAACACGAGGAAGATGCCAAAGTTGCGCCACTTGTAGTTCGGCGAAATGCCCAACGTCTCAAGGTACTCGGACCCGCTCGCGTAGGGGCAGTAACCGCAGTCGGACGTATCGTTGGGGTTCATGAGATAGCCACGGCCGGCCTCGCGCACGAAGCTGGCGGCAAAGTCGAGGCAGGTCTGGCCCGATGGCGGGTTGAAGTAGGCAGCCTCGTTGGGCGCGCACCGAACAGTCTGGTTGGCCAGGGTGGCAGACAGGACGCCGGCAATCCAGTACGAGCTGGGGTTGAGCCAGTAGAGCTGAGAGGAGTCAGTCATCGTGTCCTGCATTGAAAAGACATGCGAGGGTTACGACTTACCCAGTACTTCCAGAACACATTCAGCTGCGAGTAGGGCACCACGACACCATTAAACAAGCAGAAAATGACCAAGAAACACGGCAGGATGTTGCTGATGACGGTGAAGCTCGGCGCCCACGCGCAGATCCACTGGCCCCAGCTGGACTGAAACAGGAAGAACAGCAGCGTCATGAGGAAGACATACCCCGCCGAGGGAGCATCATACGGCAAACCGGCAGGCAGATACCAGAGCAGCCAGTACAAGACGCCAGCCACCAGCGACCCGGGGATCTCGCTGAGCACCTCGGCCGTGCAGAACGCGACCCACCCGTAGATGCGCGAGGGGTGCTCGCGGGCCTCCCAAAGGGCGCGGTTGGAGTAGAACTTGGGCAGGACGGCGTTGAGGACGGTCGCGGGGATCATGATGATGAGGAAGGACGAGAACATGGCGTTTTGCATGTCGGCGGCCGTGTCGCCCAGGTTCCAGAAGGTGAACCCGTTGAAGATTCCGATGATGACGGCCGTGAAGAGGCGGCCGTAGATGTAGGAGGGGTCACGCCACTGGCGGATGAACATGCGCTTGGTCAGGAGGAGGATCTGGGCGGGAATGGCGGCGGCGAACTCGTGGGACGGGGTTTGGGAGTCGGAGGTGGTGGAGGTAGCGGTGGCGTTCTTGCTGGTGCGCTCGGCCTTGAGTTGTTGGATCTCGGCCAGGAGGGTCTTGTTCTCCGGAGAGGAGCGCCACTCGTTGGACCAGTTGATGCGGCGGCCGTCGGGGCGACGACCGCCCTTGATGGCAGTTTCCAACAGGAACTCGGCCACGTTGCGGCCCGGCGGGCAGTGCACGCCGCGGTCAGCAAAGTACTGCACCACGGCGCTGCCGTCCTGACCGACGGGGCCGAAGTAGATGGTGTTGCCGCCCGGGTTGAGAGCCAGGATCTTGTCAAACTCTTGCAGCAGGTCCGACGACGGCTGGTGGATGGTGCAGATAATGGCCTGCCCGGCCGCGCACAGCTTGCGGAGGAAACGCACAATGGAGAAGGCCGACTGGGCGTCCAGGCCGCTGGTGGGCTCGTCGAGGAAGAGGAGCAGAGAAGGCCGCGCGGCCAGCTCAACGCCAATGGTCAGCCGCTTCTTTTGTTCGACGCCGAGCGAGCTGATGATGGCGTCTTGGATCTCTTTGAGCTCAAGAAGATCAAGCACCTTGTCGACGTAGTCCAGCTTCTCCTGGCGGGGGATGCTGCGGTCCTGGCGGAGCAGGGCCGAGAACTCAATAGCCTCGCGGACCGTGGCCGACTCCTCGTGCAGGTCCATCTGCTCGACAAAGCCGGTGCTGCGCTGGAAGTCGTTGCCCAGGGGCTTGCCGTCAACGAGCATGCTGCCGCCAACCACACCGACTGTCTGGCGCTGTGAGAGCGTGTTGAGCAGCGTCGTCTTGCCGGCACCACTGGCGCCCATGAGAGCAACCATGACACCGGGCTTGGCGTAGCCGTTGACGCCGTTGAGCAGTCGTTTGGGGCCAGCCGGGGTAGGGACGGTGTAGGTCACATCCTCCCAGGTGAAGACCCGCTCACTGCCCGTGAGGCCCTTGAAGGCGCTGTCCTCGGCGCCGGACTCGACGTTGGTGGACGAAGAGTGCCCGGACACATTGCCCTTCTCCTCGTCAGCAGGGCCTGCTGACTTGGTCTGCTTGGCTGTGCGCTTCGACCGCTTAAAGACGAGAGCGCCGCCGCCGCCGCCGCCAAAGGAGATGACCTCGTTCGCCAGCATCGTCACGAGCAGATAGAGCACCGAGAAGGCAATCAGAACGCCAAAGTTGCGCCAGAGATGGGCTCGAGTGTAGTCAAACTGCGCGGCAATGTAGTCGTCGCCCAGAATGCTGGTGCTTCCGAGCTCAGCACCGGCGATAGCGCAGCCTTGGTTCTCAGGGAGCACCCCGGGTCCCTGCGGCACGAGCTGAGCAGGGGCGCACTCCATCGTACGGGCGTGGAACTCGTTGGATATGACGCCCTCAAAGGAGTAGCTAAGCTAGTGAAGAGTCAGCACGTGAACCCGTTGCACTCTGCTAGTCAAGCCAACTTACCGGGTTGATGTGGACGATCCAGCCAAACCAGATCTTCTGCGAGAGCAACACCGGCTTTGAGATGACGTATCCGGTGTAGATGACAAGCAGGTTCAGGGCCATTCCCGAAAAGCGGACGGCGTCGTCGATAGACGGCGACATGGAAGCCAGCATGCGGTACAGGGCCGTGATGCAGAACGTGGTTGTGTACATGAACAGCAGCTGGATGAAGAACTTGCCGGGGTGAACGTCGAGGCCGGTCATGAAGTACATGAGAATGCCGAAGACGATGACCTGAGCTATCAACACAGGCAAGTCCACGAGAGCTCTGGCGAGGGTGACGGCGCTGGGGCGGTAGAAGGCGTACTCCTTGTGGCGGGCGACGATGCCTCGTCCGGAGACGGCCTTCATTAGCTCAGCGAGCTGAAGCCAGCCGAGGAAGACACAGGAGAAGAAGACGGCACCGCCACGCAGGAAGCTGCCGGCTGTCGAAGAAGGAGTATCGTAGAAGAGAGAACCCACGATGAGACCGTTGCTGATGATGGTGAAGTACTTGGAGTAAAGCTCCGTCTTGTCGCCGCCAATCAGCCAGAACTCGCGGCGAGCACATGCCAGAACCTGCTTCCAGAACGGGATGGTGTAGTTGGAGCTTGCGGCCACGCGCCGCGACTTCTGCTCCTGGACCGACTGCTTGAACATCTGCATGTCGGCGTGGCCCGTCTTTTGGAGGTGCTGCTCAAAGTCCTCGACATCAGCGAGCAGCCTCTTGTAGGCGGGGCTCTCGCGGAAGGCCTTCTCCAGCTCTTCGGCGGTCTTGGGGCAGCGCTGTTCGTAACCCTCGCGGAACTGCCGAGAGTTGGGGTCGCAGATGGAAGTGAGAAAGTCGGGGGTGGTCTGCCGTGGCGGAGCGTAGAAACCGAGGTCCTCAAAGTACTTCCTCGCCTCCTTGGCGGGCCC